TCATTACATTCTTCTTGAATTATATTATAAAAAATTTCAATTGATATTTTTTTTTTGTGCGTCACCATTTTCTTAATCTTTATTTTAACTTTTCTTTTTAAAATAGCCCAAATATTTTCAATCAGATTAAAATTTGGACTATAAGATGGCCATAGAAGAATTCGACCTAAAAGGTGAGTTTCCAAGTCTCTTTGAACATCGTGAGATTTGTGTTTTAGGTCATTATCTTGCTGAAAAATCCATTGGTGATCCAATAATTCATTCGCATTATTATAGAGCTGATCGTCAAGAATTTGGCGATACAAATAACGATCAAGATTTTTGGTAAACATGTGCATGCCGATTCTTTCTTTAACATTGATCGCAGCCCAAATATGCACTTTAAAGGGGTGCTTAACTATGGATTGAACCAGTTTCCATCACGGAACCATACAAGGGTTGTGTTACAAAACATTTAGATCGTTATTTCGTCAGAAAAAACTACCCTTTTCCAATCATATTGCAAATTGTCTTGTGCTCAAGACAAGCGAATGTCTTTCACTTTTTGGTTAAAAGAGGAACTTTTCGTGGAAGAACTGCTATATAATTAATCGAGCCTAGAAAGTTCTCGACAGATAGTTGTTTCACCAATTTCTAATTCCAAATCATTTTCTTCTAATATAGCCTTCAGTTTCCCAACTGTAGTGAAATGATCATGCTTAATGATCATTCCAACGTGCCGACGTTTCGCGGGGGTTAATTTTCGTAGGTGACCAGATTGATGAATTTCTGGAATATTTCCATTTTTTCGTAAAATGGCAACATATCTTTCACAAGAACGTAAAGGAACTCCAGTTCAATTGGAAATTTCCTTTGCATTATGGATATTTTTATCCCAAAGATATTTTACGACTTCGCGAATTGCTTTAATAGATGTCGATGGCATTTGGTATAGTGGTAATTTAGGTTAAGTTTAAAATAAACAAATAACATTTAAGATCAGGTTTTTTTGTTTATTTTATTAAAACAACATCATATTGCCTAAATCGGCCTAATTAATAATGCGTCAAATCGGAGAAACTGTGACCAAAATATTATTTAATATCCCCACCGCCATTACGGACTGTATATGTAATACTTAATATTTTACAACGCGTAATAATTCAAAAGTTTACGACATGTAATATTTTAAAAAGTATATGATGCGTAATATAATGATATCATAGTAATTCGCATATTTATGGCATGTAGTACTTCGATAGTTCTACAATGCGTAATATGATAATATCGCAATAGATAAATAAAATGTCAGCAGAACTGAATATTCGACTTTAAAATTGAAAAGTGCTATCATTTTCAACAAAGCTGCCATCAAAAGCTGTTGAAGTCAAAGTAGTTATTAGTGATATTCCACTTCTATGGCAATATATCAACAATTTAGTAACAATTCTGGTGAATGATTGTCTATTTCATTCTTTTTTTAAATTCATGTTTAATAGTTTATGTGAAACAAAGTTTGATATGTTTAAAGAAAAGATCTATGGTTATTTTGTGCCATTGATCCTTTATCTAACAAAATCTAGATAAGGTTTATCCGATCAACCAATATTGTATCTGGCAATTGAAAGTAATCCGCGACAATAAAGACTTCAACGATATTATCTTTGGTTAAAGTTTCCGATAAATTGTTGTTGAGATTTCTTTTATCGACTGCGAAGATTTAGTTGTCAGGAAAAGTGGTGACCGGTGAAATAAATTAGAGTTGCGCCTATTCCTATTTTACTTTTACATATAACGCGCGTATGACTACACAAGATTTTTTAATTTATCATGTTAAAAAATATAGAGGATGGATTTTTTTAGAACTGCAGAAAAATAATTGGTTTACATTGATTGATGATCATTTAGACGTATTTAAATATGATTGGATAGATGATTTCATAAATTGAAAAAACGTCAAAAATTTTCGTTTAATTTAGTTACAAGAAAAATGGTGCGATTACGAGTTTTTGCTTTTGTAGTTTCATTATTAGTTTGGCATGTGGAATTTGTATCAAGCTTATATGCTAACCAAGCAGGGGTAATTGATTGGTATGAAAACTTTTTTTGTTAAACTTGAAAATTTTTTATTGTTCTCACGAAAGTTATTTTCTTAGGCATCATCAGTATATTGGTACTCCGAAAACCTCATTTTTTCATAAGTTTGTTTCTAGAGGGGCATATGTTTTGGTAGCTTCCGACCGTAACGTCTTAGCATCAATTAATGTTCGTAGTGGGAATCTTGGTTGGTATCATGAATTAAGATGATTTCAATCATAATATATCGTTGTCGTAATCAAATAAATTCCTTTATTTTGAATTAGATTGGCGTCAAGTTTTTGATGAGAATGAAAATATTTTAGCTTTCAAAGGTTATGAAAATGGTGAGTTTCTCATAATTTGTTAATTAATTTACAACTCCTAGTGCTTATCGTTTCTTCACATATATGTTAGTCGCTATCTCTGTATCCAAACGAGATCACGATTACATTGTTCGATCTTGGGAATCACATTCAGGATTTATGTTATGGGAGAACAGGATAAAAGATGTTGGAGTGATGAATTCTAATCCAAGTATTGGGGACGATGATGCTCCAGGAGTAGAAGTTGTATTCGCCGCGGATAACCTTGGTGTACTAGCCCTATTAGAAGGGACTACTGTTATTAATTTAAATTTCACTGATGGCAATCAAATCTGGAGATCAGACATTACTGATAGGTTTGTAAATTTACTAATTAAATTATTTTTTTTTTTTATTTCTGATCTTTTTATTTGAATTTGGAATATATCAATTTTTAGTTCGACCGTTCTCTATAAACTTGTCGAGTTTGAACAAAAAGTTTACAGTGTTGGTCTTAAAAAATCCATCAGGTCTTATACTATCGAAGTTAATACTTACAATATTTCAAATGGAATATTAAAGACACAATCTCTATCCTCCAAGATTGATCACATCAAAGATATGATTGTTTTGGGAGGTACTACACAAAATGGATTTATAATTTGGAAGGAAGAAAATAATATGCGCGTGAATCGGTTGGATACTACTGTTATTGAGCAAGCTCCTTTAGAGGTGAATAAATCAATTCAAGGCTTCAAATTATCTTTGCGCATTTGATTAATTTTTTACAACCCTCATTTAAACTTATGCAAAGGCACTTTATGGAACTGTAATTCCATCGTTTGCCAATGCAAATGGAAAACTTGAACTTCATGATCTTAATCTTGGATCAAGAACTGAATTTCTTGTTCAAGTACCTACAAATGAGGGTAATACAGCTGCTGTATTCAAGGTTGATCCTGTAAGTGGCCGATTGCTCGTTCTTTACGATTTTGAAGAAAAAGTAAGTGTCATTAGTATTTCATAATTTCGATAACTTATTTAATTCTAATGAAATTTTATGATTTTATAGCCAGAAAATTCGGTGTATTCTGCAACTTTTGATAAAAGTGAACGCCTTATAATTTCTAGAAGTAGAATAACCGCTGAGGTATTGTAAGGTCTACTATATTAATAGATTGGAATAATTTCTCAACTAAAAACAATAACTTGCATAGGATGTGGCAAAAGTAGATATTATCGCTCCTGGACCTAGATTGGTTCTAGGAAGTTATGAAATGAATTATTCATTGAATTCATATGGTGACTTGAAAAAGGTATGTTAATCATTAATAATTTATGAAGAAATTTATTTTGATAAAAAAAGAATAATTTTATCTTATTTATCATTCGTAGTCTGTACTTGATGTTGATTCTAAAGCTACAGGATATCGTATGCTTGTGATTTCTGCTGATGGTTCCATGCATTTCTGGAAAGATCATGAAGTAGTGTGGAAGAGTGAAGAATCTCTCGCTCATACCATTGAAGCGGAATTTTTAGATTTACCAGAAAGAAAATTATGGACTCAAGAAGTAGATGAGCTTGGTGTGTAAAAATTGATTATTTATGACTAGGTCGACTTCATTTATTCAAATTAACTTACAACTTTCGAATGTTAGCTGAACAACCTGAAGAAGCAGAAACTATTTCACCTCTTGCTCGTTATATTCGACGAGTAAGAACTCATATTGAACAGCTTAAGGTGAAAAAAAAATTTAGATAAATATAATAATCATCATTATATCCAATTACAAAATTATTTGTTTGTTTATATTTGAAGGTTCATTATTGATTATGTTTCTATGTTAAATCCAGGATTTGCCTGCTTATTTGATTGCTTATGCTCAAAGATTTATAACTGGTGATTACGAAGTAGAGCCGATTCAATTAGCTCGCAAAAGTAAAATCAGTCTTCATAGGGATACATTTGGTTTCAGAAAGCTTCTAATTTTTGTGACTCGTACGAAGTTGATCGCGTTAGACACAAACAATAAAGGCCAAATAGTTTGGTCTCGCTATTTCGGAAACGATATATTTGAGTTTAATAAAATTTTTGTTGTAAGATCTTCTACAGTGAAATATCCTCCACTTGTTGTTGCCATTGGTACACAAAAAGATTTAAAGGTATAATATATTGTATTTTTCTATTTATTCAAATTTTTTTAAATTTTTTATTTATTAAAGTTTTTAAAACAGGAAAGAATTGTTACTCGTCTTTTCCGATTGAATGCTCTTACTGGAGAAAACTTTATTCCCACAGAAAATAAAGAACATTTTCCTTCCGAATTGTCAATCCCAATTATAATCAAACGTATTCTAAAATTACCTATAGAAGAACCTGATGAAAGAACTCATATTATTGCATTAATCGATGAAGAATTAAAGGCAAGGTTGATATATCATTTTTCTGGCAATGATTTAATTTAACTAAATCTACATTGATAACAATAATAATTTTTTTTAAAAAAATTTACGGTTATAGTTACACATATATCCAAACCATGAAAATGCAGTAAAGGCTTTTATACAATTTGCGCCATCATTCTATTTTACTTTACCTGATGGTATTGGAAGATCTTTGAAAGGATATCATGTCGAAAATAATGTTCAAGTAAGTAATAAAATCAATATATTACAATTGCTTTATATTATAAACTTATGATATTTACTTTCTTGAAATTATCTCTAGCCATTTGATGTTACTGAAGTTTGGTCTTTTGGTTTTCCCGAAGGAGAAAGTATTGCAGCGATTGGACATAGACCTCAGCATGGTATAAATTTTAATATGATTTGCATGTTCCTTTCCTTTTCATTTTCCGATTAAAAGTTTGTGTTAATACCTTTTTTTTCAAAAAATAAAAAATTAACAGAGAAAGTAGCCTCTCTAGGTCGCGTTCTTGGTGATCGCTCAGTATTATATAAATACCTTAATCCACATCTAATTGCAGTTGCCACATTATCGACATCAACAAATCCTACATCACTAAATGTGTATCTAATTGACACATTTAAAGGATCGATTTTACATCATGCTATTCATGAGAACGTCGGGTCTTCACAACCTGTACGAATTGCACAAATTGAAAATTTGGTTGTGTATCATTTTTGGAGTGAAAATTTTAATGAAAAGGGTTATGTAGTAGTTGTATATGAATTATATGAAAGTGAAACCCCAGATCAACGATTCGAAAGGTATTTAACTTTAATTTACTTGAATTTACTTTTACATACTTTGGTTAAACAATTTTTTTATTTTATAGTCCAGTGTTTACTTCTTTTGCACATGAACGTCCATACGTTAGTGCACAAGCGTATATGTTCCCATATGGTGTAAATGCAATTGGAATTACTACTACGAAACATGGAATTGCGACAAGAGAATTCCTATGTAAGTAAATAGATTTGAAAGCATTTATTAAAGTCATCATTAATAATGATCTTATTACTTTTTATAGTCGCTTTGGATACCAATCAAGTATTTGGTATATCTAAAAGAATTCTTGATCCACGTCGACCTCAGCGTGCTTTAACTAGTGAGGATAAAGAAGAAATGCTTATTCCTTATGATCCGGCTATTCCAGATAATAAGAAATGGGTTTTGAGTTATCATTTATCGGTAAGGATATTCAAAGTGATTGGAATTGCTTTTGAAAACAAAATAATCAACTTTTTCGTTATTCAACTAGATTGCTGGTATAAAAAACATAATAACATCACCAGCGTTACTTGAATCAACATCATTGGTCCTTGTTTATGGTTTGGATTTATGGTTTACAAGAGAGGCACCATCAAAAACATTTGACGTATTAAGTGAAGATTTTAGTAAAGGAACTTTATTAATAACTATTTTTGGATTAATTTTGGGTATTCTTATAACAAAACCAATGGTATTTATGATAAGATTTTATTTATTGTTTAAGATGTTATTTATGTTTCGTAAAAAAAAAATTTTTTTTTCTTCTATTAGGTTCGAAAGAAGAAAGTAAATTCAAGATGGTATTAATTTTTTGGTTAAATTTTTTTTTTTTTAAAAAAAAAAGAATTTATGCTATTCTGTGAAAATTCTACGCTTTTTGAGAGATTAATTTAGTTAAATTATCATGTGGAATTCAAAATTACATTTCGAATAATATAAACTTTGAACCTGATCATTCTTTTTAACTCTGACCAACTTTACGTGCTTATTCTACATCTATTCTATTTACAAATTGGGCATCCTTAAAATAACTCTACCTTCATTTTTAACGTGTTGTTTAAATTTGTTAAAAACACTACTATTTTCCCATTTACTAGGTATAGGTTTTTTATTGGTAGAAAAGTAATAAATATCCCAATCAGGCACGTCTAATAATTCGTCATATTCTTTTAATTCACTTTCAGTAAAACATTTTAAATATTTATTAGCAAAAGTAGATAATAATAAATCTGTCTCTAATATACCACGTTTACGAGATTGGTAAAGTAAACGGGAACGTTTTTGTTCTATCGATTCATTTGGACGTGGTATTGGAGATAAATTGTGATATGGAAGAAGATTCGAGTCATTACCGACTTCCTTATTGTTTGGAGAATTGGTGTGAGAATTGGTGTTTGAGGAATTGTGTCTTAATTGAATAATTGAAAGTGGTCTAATTGGAGTTAATTGTTGAGTAGAAAGTATGATTTTGTTGTAACGAATAAGTTGTGCTATTGTAAATAAAGCCATTGAGAAAGTAGGGAGAATTCGACAAAATTTTTT